GTGTCACCATAAACATATATACTGCCTTTCCTATTTTGAAACATGTTAAGTTTCGTTCTATAGTTTGCTTTTTTCCTTCTATAACTCCTCATGCATTTTTGAGATGTATCCCTATTGGTTGATAGATGCAGCTCTAGTCTCTTCATTTTAAACCTTCATTTGATGTTTCATTGTCCAAGTTTCACCTGATTTAATGATCACGTCCCATGAGGGTGGACATGTGAACTGCTACTATTCTTTCACCATTGTCAACGCTCTTCAAATGATCTTTTTATAATATGTCTCTTTGGGCACATCTGAAAGATTACGTCTGGGATATATGCCCAGGAGGGTAACTGTCTACTTGGCAGGTATCCACACCTTCAACTTTACAAAGTTTCCCAAACATTCTCTACCAATTTATGCTCCCATCAGCAGGGTACATAAATTGACGTTATTCTACATCTTTGCCAACATTTGAAATTGTTAGGCTTCTTCTTCCCTTTGCCAATCATCGGCATGCAAAATTGTGTCCCAGTTTTTATGATTACATTTCCTTGATGCTTAGGTTGAATATCTTTTCATATATTTCCTAGATATTTGGAATTTCTGTTCTGTGAATAATCTATTCCATCTTTTGCTCATTTTCAATTAGGCTGTTTACATATTTTTTATTTATTTAGATACATGTATGAGTGTTTTTCCTGCATGTATGTAAATGCACCTGTGCATGCAATGCCCGCAGAGGTCAGAAGAGGACACTGGATCTACAGAACTGGAGTTACAGATAGTTCTTAGCTGTCATGTAGGTGCCGGGACCCAAACCCAAGTCCTCTGAAAGAGTAGCAGGTCCTCTTAACCACTGATCCATCTCTCCAGCCCCTGTTTGCATTTTAAAAAAGTAAATCTGTAGACATTCTTCTGTTCTTTGTCATTATTTGCTGATTATACATATTGCATACATTCCTAATATGCAGTTAGCCTTTTCTACCTTCTTTGTGCTGTCTTAAGGCATGGGATTTTTGTTGTTGTTGTTGTTGCTGTTGTTTTTGTGAATTTCTGGGTATGAACACAGAGTTGACTGTTGAATGTTGGACAAGTGCTTCTACCTCTGAGCTACATCCCCAGTACTAGGAGTTTCAATTTTTACTGTGACCAAATTCACCTATATCTTCTTTTCTAACTTGTACCTTTTGTATCTTATACAGGAAACACTTCCCTGTCTAAAGTTGCAAGATTATTTTCTTTATATTTTCTCTCAAACATATCCAAGTATTGCATCTTAAATTGGGGGCTGTTATTCATTGGGAACTTTTGTGTATATGGCACAAGAGTCCTAGTTTCACATATTTTTTAAACGATGTTCACCTATCTTTTCTTACCTTTGCTGATGAATATGTATTATTCTTATAATAACTTACTCTAATTGTTTTAGTTCAGTTGGATTTTTAAAAATTCCTGGCTCATTTGCACAGTCTCCCATCACTTTGAACTGATCTTACCTCCTGTATTGCCGTTCCGAATTTTTGTGAGTGGTAAGGAGTAGTGTGGAGCTGAGACACCACAGTTGACCCCATTTCTCCATGAGGATCACCTGAGGCTGTTCGGTGCAGCATGTAAATTGCAGGGAGGAATGAAAGGTATGATTATGTGGAGCAAGTTTCAGTTTGCAAAGCATCTGCATTGATATTGTATACTCTGTTCTCCCTATGACCTTCTTGGATACAGTTCAGATGAAGCGACCAGTGTTCATAGAAGTCTGTTCTTGCCCACGTTTTGTAAAGGTGGCTGTTCCAGCTAAGCTTGCGTATTCTGTTCCTAATACAGTGTTTGTGGCTAATGGCCCTGCCCCTCACCTACATAGTTTTCTATAACATTTCTCTGAGGGGCAGGTATTTAAAGGATTTCTTGACACCCAAAAAGGTGACATGGTGTTAACTTGGGAGTCATATGCTGTTAATAAGTGACTGCATGTTGTTCATGGTCTTCATCCTTACAAACCCTCCTGTGGAAATGAAGACTTTTTGCTGTCCAGATTAATCAATACATACTTTGTTGTTTTATTTCTTTATCATTTATAAGCTTGATCTTTGAGCTTTGATTTTGGGCTTCCTTTACAGCATTACATTGTTCGGTGACTTTTACAGGCAGCCTTGGAAACAAAGAATTCATTCTTTACTTCCTTGGTGGCCTCTGGCATTTATGATCATAAAAAGGAGAAAGATGATGAGGGTTTTTTTTCCTTTGCTCAAATATTAATGGCTTTATCTGAGTTCTCTAGGGAAACTAGATAGAAAAAACAATCCAAAGTCATTTAGAAAGCATGTGGCTTTTTCTAGATTTTAAATGAGAAATCATCAAGCTTTACCCATAAAGAACCAGATATAAATATTTTAGTATTTATATGGTATATAATCTTTCTGACAACTGCCAAGTCTACCATTGTCATTCCGAAGCTGTGATTTGTAAACAAACGGGCAGGCCATTTTCCAGCATACAATAAAACTTTATTTACAAGTGAGTAGATTTGGCCCTCAGACCAGAGTTTGCTGATCCCTGCTTTTGACTGTTCCAGCCTTGTCTAACAGTAATGTAACTCTTTAGCTAAATGGTTTCTTAACAGCCCTGTTTTAGATCATCTTTCTATAACCAAAGCTCTCTGTGATTTTTTTTTTTTCTTCAAAAGCAAAACAGCTCATGGAAAGATGATGATTACTCACATCCCAAGCTCATTAAGAGGCCAAAGTCAAGCTAGACTGTTTATTAATCTTGTTATTTCACCCAAAATCAGAGTTACCATGAGTTGTAGCCATGCTTGGTCCAGACACATATCAGTCTCTGACCTCTTCCTATGTTTAAAGCTCTTCACAAACATAAAAGACATGGAGGTTCATAAACCATTCAATCCACATTTTATCTTATCATGGCCATTAAGACCACAGAGCTGAGAAACAAGCATCTCTACTTCTATCAGTTAATTCCTTTGAAGAGCAAACAAATGCGAAAAACATCTAAAGACTGAGTGAAGGTAAGATCTGTTTTGTGATCCTTCAGTCATTTTCTGACTTGGTATCTCTGGTTTACCTGTTGGCCACTTGGGAACTGTAAAATCTTTTGTACTAAAGATTTTGGGGTAGAGAGCAACACAGGAGGGGTCCATGTCTTTCATTATGAATTTTGTAATTAAAATGATTTAAAATAGCCTTAATAAATATTTTAGATAATAATATCTTAAATGTTTGGTACTGTGCTTGCTCAACAATTTTGAGGAACATACATAATATACATTATGGGGAGGAATCTCCATGTAGCTCTAAACTGCCCTGGATCTCATGGACATCTGCCTGCCTTTGCCTCCCAAGTGCTGGGATTATAGGTGTATACCACCACATTTAGTGGGACATATTTTTTTGATGCAAGAGATTCTTGTCCTAAGAAACTATTTCCCTACAGCCACCTTTACTATGATTTTAAGCTAGCATTTTTCTGATATAGAAGTAGCAGTTTTACAGAAGAGAATTTGAGAAACTTGAAAAGCATAAATGAGAACAGTAAAATCACTCCCAATTCAGTTGCTTAGAGATAAGTATTGCTGGCATGCTAGTGGCCATCTCTTTTGACATTTCTCTGTGCATTTGTTTCCATATAGATTAGCTCTAAAGCTTTCACATTCATGAGGTGATGCACAACATATTTTTAAAACTGGCCATTTTGCTAAAGAACACAAAATGGGTATGTCTGGGTTGATAAGTAAAGATCAATATTAACTGTTAGCTGTTTGGCATTTACAGTAGAGATATACCTACTGTAATCTGCGTGTACACTTCCCTAGTAGTGAGTGTGAAGTGCTTTGTGTTTTCCCATTATTGTGGCAAATACTAAGTTAAACATTCTTATAAGTTTCTTGTTGCCATCCTGAGCAGCTCTTAAGATAAATTCCTGGAAGTGGTATTAGCAGAATTTTGTGTGTGTGTGTGTGTGTGTATGTACATATTTGTGCATAATTTTGGTGCTGAGGAGTTTGTGCTGAAATTATATTCTTCCCAGCAATTAGTAAGATCACTTCATATCATCAGCAGTTCTGGAACCCCCTCTCTCTCTCTCTCTCTCT